AAGATTGTACAACTGCTTAATTAACAATATAGAGCAGCTGGCAAATGGGTTATCCTAAAAAGTTTTAAAAAATCAAAAGATGGCACCAATTTGTTACAATTATTCCAGGTTCTGAGTTTCACAGAGCTCAGAGACAAATTACCATTTTAAGAGATTTGGAAGAAAGGAAGAATCCCCAGGAAAAATCTGATATATGCATAAAAGACTAAAGTAGGTACAATAGCTCAATTTATACCCTGTCAGCCTAACCATGCAGACCAAATCAAGAAATTTAATTCATTCAAAGGCTAAGATTACTTTTATTAATATTGGCTATAATCTGACTGTGCGTTATTTCCAGCCCCCCCGCCCCCCATGTGAATTAGGGAGTACGTGCCTAAATCTTTTGTGCATAAATAATGTTTTCCCCAAGTCTCTTGGTTAATAGATTTGGCTTATCTCTCTGAAGATCATCTTTATTACTTTTTATATAGAGAGGTATAAAGAATATAAGATTTAAGAAACACACAAAAAATAAATTAAGCTATAAAGCAGCTTCTGCCTAACCATTAACCGATTTCGTAGACATAATTTAAATCCAGAAGCAAAGTTCCCTATTTCTTTTTTCTTGGACCTCTGGGCTTAATTCCAGCCATTTATCACAACTGTTCGGGAGAGAGTATAAGTCAGCTCAGGACCAGGAACTTTTTTTCTCCATTTCTCTGGAGTTCTTTCTCTTGTTTTAAAAGAACAGAACTTTTCTTTATGAGAGGGAGGACTGAGGCATCTCCCTTGGTTTTTATGTGATAAAAGTTGTGTCTTCCCCAATGCTGAATGTTATATGGCATGGGTGTCAAACTCGATTTTATTGAGGGCCACATCAGAGTTGTGTTTGACCTCGGGGGGCCTGGGGGATGTGGCCAGGGGGCTTGGCCAGCTTGACACCACTCATTTCAGAGATGCCTGTGGTGGCCCACATGGGGATGGGGTATCCTCCTGCAGCTCTCTGCCAACAAAAACGGAGCTTGGGAGGACTGCATGCAGCCCTTCTGAGCTCCGTTTTCGCTGGCAGAGGCACCACGGGCCTTCGCTGTTTCCAAGGCAGCCCTGTGGGCCAGATCTAAGCACTCCATGGGCTGTATCTGGCCTGCAGGCCTTGAGTTTGACACCCCTGTTATATGATGTCCTGCTTGATTAGGGGTTTGGACTAGACCTCCAAGGTCCTTTTTCAACTTTTTTTTGTGTGTGTATCCTGATTATGAGACAGGGGAAAGTCTATTCCCAGTTGGAGGAACACACTGGCATCCTTGTGAATGCAGGCTGGCATCACAATAGAACCTTAAAGAAAGTTTTTATTTAATGAGAAGTCTAGCTGCCACATTTTATTTTGCAGTAATAAATTAGACAAGGAATTAAAGCATTTCCCAGAAAAGCAAATAACTTGTCTTGACAGTGGGAAAAGTCTGTGAGAATAATTGCAAATACTCAGGGCCTATTTCAAGATTCAATTGATATTCAATATAGAATTTTTAGTGAAAAGGTCTTGTGCTTTACTGCAAATAGCAAAAAATCTTAGATTGGCCCTATTATATTATTTTATTTTTCTTTGTTTCATAAATTTAGTGGATTTCTTTTTTCAATTACATAGATGCTACTGCTATAAACATTTTTTCCCACTGGACAGAAATTCTGAATGGTTAGTGGAAGGCATTTAATCCATTTTCTGGGAACAAGAGTATCTGAAAATTAATGGATGACATTTTTGTTATTTTAAATAGTTCTTATAAAAGGATAGTTATCATGAATTACCAATAGATCAGCAGAGCCAAATATTAACTGTTCATCAATCTAAGGTCATCCTGAAATTGCAATTGTGGACTTTTCTATTTCTATTTCATTTATCAACCATGCTTTCAAATATAATTTGATCACATTTGACATCACATTTTATTTCCTTTTTTTGCAACCCAATTCTGGGAGGAAAAAAAAAACAGATATACGGTACTTTTTAAGGATAAGTACTTGGAAGTGGGAATATACAAACTACATTGTGTCATATAAATGAATGAATTACAACAATTCTTTATTATAGCCAATAACTAGTAATTAAAAACAATTCTACAAGAACTAAAAAAATGCAGACAGGACAACAACATTGAAATCCCTAGTAAATAATACAATGTATACATACTAAAATAAGCAATTAAGAGGAATTCAGTATGAGATTATAAACTAAAACTGGAGCTGAATTACCATTTTGATGGTATTGTCTTGTTATCTGTTGCTGTACTCCACATTCCATATCATAAAATTAGTTATATTGTAAGTAGCAGCAAACTACCTGTCAGAAAAAAGTGTCAAGAACCAAGCAGTCATTCACAACCAAGAAACTTAGATTCTTACAGTGTTTCACCAGTCAGATTTATTGAAAGGAAAAGTAGTTAAATTACAGAATGTTAGAAAATGAATATGTGTATTTTAGCAGCCCACACATCAGTATATATATATATTGTTGGAAGAAATATCCTTCTGGGTTCAATTTCAAGTGGGGAAAAAGACACTGGAAACATGGAGGCTGTTTAGAAAGATGGTTTAATGGTGGACAGAACGACATGGCTTGGAGCTCCAAAGTGAAAAGTAAGATCACATACTTGAAGATGTTGGGTGAAGGAAAAGAAGGGCCAAGATGCTGAGAGACCCTTAGTTATATACCTTCTGTTGGGCCCCAGCTTAGTGTTTCCTGTTCCTGTGTAAGAAATGTATCCCATTGGCTGGCCTCTCATGACTGTGGGGATGCTGCAACAGTTGTAAGTGTGAAAAACAGTAATGAGTCACTTTTTTCAGTGCCATTGTAACTTTGAATGGTCATTCCACACAAGCAAAGTACCAGCAAAGGAGGGAAAAAAGACTCCAGAGACGTTCCTGAGATAGGAAGTCTAGTCCTGCCAAGAATGTAATAAGAGTTAATGGAGAGGCAGTTTCTGAAAGCAATACCAGAATGTTTCCTTCCTGCCTTCCTTACAGGATTAGGCCAGTAATTTCTTCTAACAACCGGTTCTCTGAACTGCTTAGAATGTTAACAACCTGTTCTAGCGAATAGATGCAAACCTGTAGAATCCCACCCCTGGTTCTGAGGAAAAAGGGATAATACACTGCTCAAAAAAATAAAGGGAACACAAAAAGAAGACATCCTAGATCTGAATGAATGAAATATTCTTATTAAATACTTTGTTCATTACATAGTTGAATATGCTGACAACAAAATCACACAAAAATTATCAATGGAAATCAAATTTAGCAACCCATGGAGGTCTGGATTTGGAGTTACGCTCAAAATTAAAGTGGAAAAAAACACTACAGGCTGATCCAACTTTGATGTAATGTCCTTAAAACAAGTCAAAATGAGGCTCAGTAGTGTGTGTGGCCTCCACGTGCCTGTATGACCTCCCTACAATGCCTGGGCATGCTCCTGATGAGTTGGCGGATGGTCTCCTGAGGGATCTCCTCCCACACCTGGACTAAAGCATCCCCCAACTCCTGGACAGTCTGTGGTGTAACATGGCGGTGGATGGAGCGCGACATGATGTCCCAGATGTGCTCAATTGGATTCAGGTCTGGGGAACGGGTGGGCCAGTCCATAGCATCAATGCCTTCATTTTGCAGGAACTGCTGACACACTCCAGCCACATGAGGTCTAGCATTGTCTTGCATTAGGAGGAACCCAGGGCCAACCGCACCAGCATATGGTCTCACAAGGGGTCTGAGGATCTCATCTCGGTACCTAATGGCAGTCAGGCTACTTCTGGCGAGCACATGGAGGGCTGTGCGGCCCCCTAAAGAAATGCCACCCCACACCATTACTGACCCACTGCCAAACCGGTCATGCTGGAGGATGTTGCAGGCAGCAGAACGTTCTCCACAGCATCTCCAGACCCTGTCACGTCTGTCACATGTGCTCAGTGTGAACCTGCTTTCATCTGTGAAGAGCACAGGGCGCCAGTGGCGAATTTGCCAATCTTGGTGTTTTCTGGCAAATGCCAAACGTCCTGCACGGTGTTGGACTGTAAGCACAACCCCCACCTGTCGACGTCGGGCCCTCATACCACCCTCATGAAGTCTGTTTCTGACCGTTTGAGCAGCCACATGCACATTTGTGGTCTGCTGGAGGTCATTTTGCAGGGCTATGACAGTGCTCCTCCTGTCCCTCCTTGCACAAAGGCGAAGGTAGCGGTCCTGATGCTGGGTTGTTGCCCTCCTATGGCCTCCTCCACATCTCCTGATGTACTGGCCTGTCTCCTGGTAGCACCTCCATGCTCTGGACACTACGCTGACAGACACAGCAAACCTTCTTGCCACAGCTCGCATTGATGTGCCATCCTGGATGAGCTGCACTACCTGAGCCACTTGTGTGGGTTGTAATCTCCATCTCATGCTACCACTAGAGTGAAAGCACCACCAGCATTCAAAAGTGACCAAACCATCAGCCGGAAAGCATAGGAACTGAAAAGTGGTCTGTGGTCACCACCTGCAGAACCACTCCTTTATTGGGGATGTCTTGCTAACTGCCTATGTTTTCTACCTGTTGTCTATTCCATTTGCACAACAGCATGTGAAATTGATTGTCAATCAGTGTTGCTACCTAAGTGGACAGTTTGATTTCACAGAAGTGTGATTGACTTGGAGTTACATTGTGTTGTTTAAGTGTTCCCTTTATTTTTTTGAGCAGTGTAGTTTTTTGGGGGAGGGGTTCTTTCTCACATCGTCTGCATACTTTGGCTCGGAGGGGACCCATTTCTGAATTTCCTGCAGATTAAGAGAAATATATGTAAAAGGTAACATTGCATTAAATTTTCATGTTGCATTAAAAATATAAGAAAATAAGAAAAATAAGAAAAAGCATGAGAGATAGGAGAGTTCCAGTGGTGAATCTTTTGTTTTAAATTGTGTCTGAGACTTCACAAGTGATTTTTTTTCTTTAAGGAATGTTTTCCTATTCTGAGAACAGGTATTATATAGTTCCAATGAGGCTAATCGATAGGAACCAGCCTCAATCTGTTTGAACATGAGCCTTTGGTTTTCAGAAGTATTGTGAGCCAGGAAACAATAGCACAAAAGAGACACAAAATAAAATGTTCTTCTGATTTAATAGATTTGTTTTTAAAATGTCAGGATCAATATAATGAAATGGAGCCAGATATAAATACCATCAATGAGAGAGTGCCACTAAGGGTGATATATAACATCAACAGAAAGGTGTACAATGAAGAAGAATTTGAACAAGAGCATGACCAAAACATGTATTCCCAGCTCAACAAGGAATCTGAAAGACCTAAACTTGGACGAAAGATCCAGTGCAGGTAAGATTAGTCAGGAAGTTTGTTCCTCTCCACACTTGACTGCTTTATTATGTTTCTAGGTCAATCTATAAACCAAAATTTTCTTATGATATTAGAAACGGTTATCATTGTTTATAAACTTTACCTATGCACAGTTTCTTCTCTTTTATGTAGAGCTAAATTAGCCCCAGTGGTCCAATCAATCAGGTTTAATAAAAATGCAATAATGAAGAGGAGAGAGGCAACAATGGAAAAGATGTGGAAGAATTTACTTCTAATTTAAGATGGATTAGATAGTGATACAGCTTCAAATCAGGGTACCATTGCTGACATATCACAATGTCAGAGAGTTCTGTCCTTTCATTAGCAACATTGGGTAAGGCAGAATTTGCAGTTGCTTACTGCAAAATCTGTTTTTGATTTTGAATTTGATTATTAGACCCCACCAAGCTCAGGTCTAGTTTGGGAACATAAAAGTGTTTAATTGCCTTGAACGAGCATTTACACCAGGGATCTAGAACTCAATTCTTACAAATGCCACATTAGGACAGGTTCATTCACCTGGAGGCCACAGCATTGGAAGTCTTTCCATACACTGAAATAAAAAAAATCTCTAGTCCCTACAATAGTACTCAGGGAGCTACCGCTAGTAGCAAGGAAGAAGTGGAACACTGGCAGAGAGAACAATAGTTTACATGGAGAAGTGCAAGCTCCAATCTTGCCCTGGCTGCAATGGCACCTGTAGGACAGGTGTAGCTGTCCCTTGGGTTGCTATCCTGCCCAATTGCAAAGTTGCACTTTAATCTCAGTCTGGGTAATTGGACTCAGTGTCTGTGATGATCTTGTTGAATGTAAATACTAAATGTGTACAGGTAGCCCTCGAATTACGACCACAATTGGGTCCAAAATTTCTGTTGTCGAGTGGAACATTTGTAAAGTGAGTTTTGCCCCATTTTACGACTCTTCTTGCCATAGTTGTTAAGTGAATCACTGCACTGGTTAAATTAGTAACATGGTTAAGTGAAATTGGCTTCCCCATTCATTTTGTTTGTCAGAAGGTCGCAAAAAGGGAGCATGTAATCCCAGAACACTGCAACCATCATAAATAGGAACCAGTTACCAAGCATCTAAATTTTGATCACATGGCCATGGGGATGCTACAACGGTCATAAATCACTTTTTTCAGTGCTATTGTAACTTTGAACGGTCACTAAATGAACTGTTGTAAGTCAAGGACTATCTGTACTCAGCTCTGACTCTGGAGAGGGTTCAAAGTGCCATGTTAAGATTGATAAACTGTTAGTCTTAATTCCAGCAGTTGCTTTCCACTTCTTGATTATGGGCAAACTTGCACCCTCTTTTTCCTCTCCTCCTTGATTCTATCGGCCCATCAGTCTAATTTGCCTTTGTTTTTCTCCTTACGCCAAGTGAAATAGGCAAGGATATCTATGCAAACTACTTTTGGATTAGACTTCTTCAGCTGAAAGATTTATATCACTTATATGGCTTTCCTTTCTTTCAAGTATTGCTGCAGGCCATATAAAATGCATTTCATGGCTGCTTTCAGCTTGTTGCACCAAGACAAATTCTTTGTGTGTCCAATCACACTTGGCCAATAACAAAATTTATTCTATTCTATTCTAGTAGACTTTGAATTGCCTGATTGGTGTTGAGACCTGGAGAAAGGCAGTGTCCCTATTGGTTCTATAAGTACTTTATTTTTTTTGTCCACCATAGAATATGGAATGGAATGGAATGGAATAGAATAGAATTCTTTATTGGCCATGGGTGATTGGACACACAAGGAATTTGTCTTGGTGTGCATGCTCTCAGTGTACATAAAAGAAAAGATACATTCCTCAAGAGTCAAGAATCATAAAGTACAACACTTAATAATAGTCATAGGGTACTATAAGCAATCAAATCATAGTAGGAAATAGTCAATATAAATTGCAAGGATACAAGCAACAAAGTTACAATCATACAGTCACAAGTAGGAGGGGATGGGTGATGAGAAGATTAATAGTAATAGTAGTGCAGACTTCGTAAATAGTTGGACAGTGTTGAGGGAATTATTTGTTTAGCAGAGTGATGGCGTTTGGGAAAAAACTGTTCTTGTGTATAATTGTTCTTGTGTGCAGTGGTCTGCAGTGTCGTTTTGAGGATAGGAGTTGAAACAATTTATGTCCAGGATATGAGGGGTCTGTAAATATTTTCACAGCCCTCTTTTTGACTCATGCAATATACAGGTCCTCAATGGAAGGCAGGTTGGTAGTAATTGTAGTCCATAGAGACTGAAGAATTCCTGCTTAGGGGAACATGAAAACATTATAAAAGAACCAGGTTTGTTAGGATTTATTATATTTAGAAAGAATGACTTAGAAGCAGGGGTGGTATGCTACCGGTTCTACCCGGTTCTAAGGAACCGGTAGCTCTGAAGAGCTGCAGACACTGAACCGGTTCTGAGTTTGCTGCTGCTTGGCGCACCCACCTGCCTGGACTCTTACCTGTCCTTTATTTCCTGCTTTTCCAACCTTAGCTGCTTTGCGCAGCACAGCTAAGCTTGAAAAAGCAGTAAAAAAGAGGCTTTTCAAACGCTGCACACCCGCAGTGCTTTTCAGCTGTCAGGGCGACACGGCTTAAGGGTTTTTTACACATGCACACAGCAAAACGTAGTCACTGAACCGGGAGTAATACCGGTTGAATCCCACCCCTGCTTAGAAGATACATGTTCAGAAGTCTTTGAAGAATTAATCTTAAATTGATTTAATGTTGGCAATTATAGTATAATTTATAGTTCATGATTTACAAAAATTGTAAATTTTAGCAGAAAAGCAGTGTCAAAATAATAAGACATAACAAAATATAGCTAGAATGGAATAAAAGCATGTCGTTTAAAAATTATTCTCATTTGACACAATCCCATATGCCTTTGCTCAGAAATTGGTTTCCATTATGTTTAGTGGGTCTCCCTTTGAGGAAAGTGTACATACGATTTTAAACCAAATTATGCATATTATTTAACAAAATCATACAGAGCTGATGATTGAGTATTGTTGGTTTAAAGATTACCTCACTATGTATCATAGAAACAACTGAGCCTTTTTTATCAAGATAAAAGTTTGGCTTTCTGTACAATCCTATTTCAGATTCTCATGTGCACGGTTCAGGAAATTCATACTCAAGATGTTTCCTATTTTAAATTGGCTTTATACTTATCGCATTACTGAATGGATTCTAGGAGACTTACACGCTGGCTTAAATGTAGGGATGGTGCAGGTTTTCCAAGGTAAGTTAGTCCATTTTCATTTTCTATTTAAAAGCTTTCAAGGTGGATAATTTTCCAATCTTTTCCACATATGGTAGCATATCCTAGGCTGAAGCTCTCTTTACTACTCTATAATAAATAAAACCATATGGGGTTTGGACTCAAATAACAAAAACAGCCTCTGGTACAGATAGTTCTCGACTTATGACCACCACTGAGCCCAACATTTCCATTGCTAAGCGAGTCAGTTGTTAAGTGAATCTTGTCCCATTTTATGAACTTTCTGAAAACATTTGTTAAATAATTCTGTTCTGACCCACGCCTCTTTCCGACAAATCAAACACAATCCAAAAGGAACAAAAACCTTGTAATGCTTTTACAAAATAATTAGCTGTGATAAGCACAAGCCTTGCCAAACTGTGCAAGACTTGCCAAAAGATAACAGACAAGAAATAATTTGCAATACAAAAATGTTCAAATACAAACTCAGGATACTGGAATGTCCATGAGGCTGGAGTTTCAAAACGTCTTTGCCTTCTGCAAAGTACGTTTGTTTCACAGCTGGCTTTTATCTTCTTGAAGGAGGGGCCATTACCTTGCAGCCTTACTCCCGAGTCACCCGTGCTGTTGTAACTGCTCTTTCCTACGAGCAATCCTGCGCGCACTTAGCACAGGCTCCTCAGGAACCTCCTCATCACTGCTGTCAGCCCCCACAATCTCTAAAGGCAGCTGTTCACTCCCTAATGGTCCTGGCCCCTCGCTCTCCTCAGCTGCTCGCATCTGATGCCAATTAACCACAACAGATTCACTGCAGTGGTTAAGTTAGTAACATGGTTGTAAAGCAAATCTGGCTTCCACATTGACGTTGTTTGTCAAAGGGTCGCATTGCAGCCATCATAAATATGAGTCAGTTGCCAAGTGTCTGAATTTTGATCATGTGACCATGGGGATGCCGCAGTGGTCATAAGTGCAAAACAGTATGTGAAAAATGGTCATGAGTTACTTTTTTCAGTGCCTTTGTAACTTTGAACTGTCACTAAATGAACTGTTGTAATTCAAGGATTACCTGAATTTAAAAAGGAAAAACTGTAGGAATTTGTAAAGGGAAAGGCATCTTCACCTAAGTTCAATTCCTAATCATTATATTGACCGCTATTCTAACCTATAAAACAAAGGATTTTTTTTACCTGAAATAATGAAACAAGAATTAGTTGATGGATTTCAACGTATGTTAAAATGAAGTAGCAATATAAACAAAATTATTTATGATTTGAAAATTAATGTTCTTTATAAATTTCCCATAAAAATGGATTCCCTTTACATACTTCAAGATTTGCTCCTGTATTATTAAAGAACATCTACATGTAATCTATGATGCACTAGAATCTATACCACAGAAAAAAAGTACTTCTTTGTCTGGTCTATTCAAGATATAGCAGCAGGAAGAATAGAATAGAATAGAATAGAATAGAATAGAATAGAATAGAATAGAATTCTTTATTGGCCAAATGTGATTGGACACATAAGGAATATGTCTTGGTGTCTCAGTGTACATAAAAGAAAAGATACATTCATCAAGGGTCAAGAATCATAAGGTACAACACTTAATAATAGTCATAAGGTACAATAAGCAGGATATAATTTGGACCACTAATTGCACTTTTCATCTTACGATCATCAGTATTTCTGGCAAGGTCACCAGAAATATGATTGGTTTTTAATTCTAGTTCCGATGAAAATAAAAATTGCTGCCTTCCAATTAACTTGAGTCAGCAATGGGCATGGAATCACCATGTCCTTGTACCTCTACTCTCCAACAACTGTTTACATATAAAACGTTATTTCAGGACCATACTTCATACATTTGTCTAGTAGAAGTAACAGTAGTAGTGATAGCACTAACATGCTATATATTACATTTAACATGTTTATATTCTACCCTTTTTCCAGTCAAGGGTTTGCCTATTTTATTCTCCTAGACATTGATGTATCCAAGACTACTAATGGATTTTCATGATTAAGTGAATATCTGAGTCTAAATTTTATTTGTGTCCAAAGTGCTCCCTCAGTTAGCTATTCCAGGCTTGCAAATAATCAAGAAAAGGTTGGTTAAAATTTTGCTCCAATCCAGCCCACCTCTGCATTCATCACTCATCTGCCACAGTTTTGCCCCTTGCCTACTGCTGGAAGAACATAAGAAAATATAATAATTGGGCTGTTTAGATCCCCCTTTATGTGTCATTAACAAAATAGTTGGAAGGAAAGATATAGGTGACCATCCAGAGAGATTTAAAAGAGGGAAAAAGTGGCTTTTTACTTAGATACAACATACCAGTGGTAGATGCTTCCCCCCCCCCCGAAAACAGTGCCATATGAAGATTGATTGACTCATCATGAGCCATCAAGTTGGAGTGGATTCTTAATGAACATAATTTGTCCTCAGTCTGGTCTTTCAGATCTTCCAGTAATGCAGTCATTATCACTGGTTGTCCTCTTCTCTTTCCTTCCATCCTCCCATTTTCCCGAGTTATAGATTTCTAGAACAAGGTCAGTGGATAACAGATTATTTATTAGAATAAGAAGTTATAATAAAATAGGGCAGGTTGGTTTTTCCTTCACTACAAATGGGCAATGAACTGTTTGCTTTGTATCAGTTTTGAGAGTATATTTTAAAAATATGCATTCCTTATAGGATTATCAGGAATAGCACTAACCGGATTACCAATTCCAGTTATAAATAATTTTTATTCTGCATTTTGCTGCTCTTTAATATATGTTATATTTGGAACTTCACAACATATATCTATTGGTAAGTACTATGCTATCTGTTCATTAAAGGTATATGAGATTATTTGTCATTAGAAATGATATACTGACTCATTAAAAAACTTGTTTTTGTTAATTTATACTTTCAAACATATTGACTTTTATTTCAAATTTATTGCTAAGTCTTCTGTTAATACCTTGTTTTTATTATCTGTCATCAATTAATTCACAAAGCTAAAGAAAACTGTGTAAATATTTTAAAAAGTGACTATATCAAGTTTAATTTATCTGTTCAATCAATTAGTTTTATGAGAAAATCATGATTCTTGTAAGTTCTCCCTGATTCTTCTCTCAGCAATATTTTACACTTGTTTCAGTTTAAATAGATGAGTTTATTTGTAAAAATTTGGAAGTTAAATAAATGATATCTCTCTTTGTAATTTCTCTTCATAATCATTCTGTGTGAGGAGAATAAATTGTACAGGCTCTTCTCTGAAATCCAGACATAATTTCTGGTAAAAGTGGTTCTCTTACCATTTTCATGCTCCAAAAACACCTGTATTTCAGGCTTGACAGCAGAGTGCAACAGCAAATCACAGCTCTTCAAATACTTAACTCTTTACTCATCACTTGATTTGGCAAAAGATTCTCAGATATAACTTGGCTAGATGAGCATCTGTTTTCCAAAACAAAAATGAAGCTTTAAACACAACAGTTGATTGACTATTGCAGTACAATGAAGTCAGAACCTTTGTATATAATTTTGCTGTAAATTCTAGGTTTTTCCCTATGTTCTTTCTAAGGTAATTAATACTTGATTTATTGGACTTGGGTAACTGATAAATGTTTATATAATGATTCTCTAGCCTCGGAGATGACTGGCTCTTGCTTTGCCAACTTCAACCCTTATACTTTGGAAGAGAAAAGAAAGCTATGTACACACTTCTACTCTCATTTCCACTCTGCTATGCCTTAGTTAATAGACCTGTCAGTCTTTCTGGCAGCTGTTGGAAAACCAAAAGTGATTGTTCATCAGTACATTTGTGATATAGAGTTTTTTAAACAAGGTTTATTGAGATGAATGGGATGAGTTTACAATATTTCTAGTAAATGAACTATTTTCAGTTTAGCACCAATTCAGCTCCTCTACATTCTACAAGATGGGATATAAAATAATGAATGTCAGTTATAGAAGGCTTCCTTATGCCCTTTCCTATTCTGGGATCCTATAATTCCAAATTTCTTGAGCTCTTGACAGCTAAATAGTGCTAATTTATTAGATTCGTTTTTGCAAACAAATAATAACTCAGGGTGGTAAGTGGCATCAAAAGTACTCTCAAAAACATTTAAAAAATTGTGAAAATGAAAGCAGTTTAAACAACAATTGTTTTAACACTTTATCGAAACTAGGACAGGATTGAGAAGATATCACAATCTCATACACCTTATTGCCAAAAGTGTTTCTAGTGATGTCTGCAGGGAGAGATGTCAAATCAGTCAGTCTGATGAAACCAACGTCATGTCATCATGACACAAGTACCTCTCATTTATAGGTGCATTGTGACATGTACATTGAAAAATTGCACAACTTGTGGCATTAGAGCATGATGTCACTTTGTTATTTTGACGAAAGCCAGCAGAACTGTAGGTGCTCGGGATTGTCTCTTGAGCCTAGATATTAAAAAGCGAAGTACCTAATTGAGTGTCGTTCATTTCTAAACCCCATAAATCTCTTGATTGAAATAAAAGTTATATGATACCAGTTTAGAGGAACTGTTTAGCATCAATGGTTGACTAATGGTGAACTTCCGTTGGGCTTGGGTATACTTAGGTTAGGATCAGGGTCTAGCCAGCTGACAATGGTTAACACAGAGTTCCTGTAAATCCAGTGAATCTTTCTGGTGGTGATTTATGGACAATGCGCATCACTGTTGTTGAGTGCCCAGTGATGTAACTTCGGACATCAGAATACTAGAAGAAATAATATACAGAGAAATAATTTATCTGTTGGTTTATTGATTTGTTTATATCCTGCCTTTATTATTTTTTATAAATAATTTAAGGCAGTGAACATAACCAATAGTACTTCCTCCTTCTATTTTGCCCCAACAACCCTGTGAGATGAGTTGAACTGAGAGAAAGTGACTGCTCCAAAGTTACCCAGCCAGCTTTCATGCATAAGGCGGCCCTAGAAATCATAGTCTTTTAGTTTCTTCCCTGGTACCTTAACCACCAGACCAAACTGGTATTCTGAAAGCATTTTATACTTTAAGCTCTTTAGAGAAATGGTGAGAATTACTTTGTGACAATTAATGTGGTAGCAGAATTTATATTAGCTTTGGCTTTTATCTTGAATTTCTGCTTTTTGGCAACAGGTTCTTTCAGCATTCTAAATGCAATGGCAGCAAATTTTCAGAGTAATCTTAATTTCAGAATACAGTTATCAAATAATGCCACTTTGGCCAATGTTTCTGATGAAAATTTTATGCGGAATTATATGGAAGCAGTAACTCACACTGCATCTACTACATTTTTCGTTGGGATTATTCAGGTAGGAAACACACTTGAATTATTTCTTTTTTTTTGCCATATTTTTATGTATTTGAAGTGCTTTAATGCCACTTCAGTTAAGTTAATATTACTGTGTATATGTATGTGTGTCAATAATAGCAATAAAGCAATAATGAACAGCACCCCGAAACAGTCTAGGTATATACTCCATTGATTCCTTAATCCTCAAATATCTACATAAATGCTTACATCTTGAAGAGTTTTCTGAATAACAGTGACAAGGACACTAATCTTATTTTTGAGAGTAACTGATTCTATAGGGGGTGAGAGCTCTGCCAAAGAATGCTGACTTTTAAGCTCCCTCCATCTCAGCTCATAGAGAGTGGGAACTCTTGGTATTTTCAAAGACAGAATAAAAATTCAGTATCATGTAATAAGACACACATATTTAAACACAAAAGTTGAATGAAAGTTAAATCTTAGCTGAGTAGACTTTCCTTCTGGGTGTGTGGTGTAATGAGTGTAATAAAATAATCCACAACTGACTTTCTGAAATCTCAATATTTTTAGACTCCATTATTCTTTTTCTGATGCATGAAAATTCTATACTTTTATAATTGGGCACCAATACTTTTCAGCTATATTTTTATTTTTGATTCTGATGTACTTAAAAAAATAAGCAAATTATTTGGCTTTATACAATTTTTCTACTGCTTTTAAAATATATTTTTTTTTATTCTTTGTCCACTGTATTTTATAGTAGGGTTAAGAACAACATGAAAGGAAAATTAGATCTTAAGGAATGTAAGGAAGAGAGAGCAAACAGAAACATTTCACCTGACATAATAGCTGAAATTCAGAAGATTCTTAAAATCTGCTAATATTTTGCATGAAGACATTCAAAAGTTCATCAGAATTATGCAAGGTTTCAATTATTTCACATGAAAACTCATAAATTTCACCCCAAGATAATTATTGTCTGGTGTAATTTCACCAATTTTATTTCTATGTTTTTTTGATATTGAGGGCCAGGAAGAGGTCCCTGACTTCAGCTTATCTCAGAACATTGACTAATTTGGAGGCATGAAGCAGATGACTTAGACTTAGACTAACTTTATTGTCACTTTGAATGTACATGTAAATATACTAATTGGCATACATTAAAATGAAATTTCATTGTATGCTGCTCTCAAAGGGTTACCCCCTCCAGTATACACTACATAAACATAACAAAATAAATAAGTAAGTAAGTAAGTAATAAATAAGTACAAAATTATGCATATACTTACATAAATTATATGACATAGAAAAACAACACAGTCTAGTTCAGATGTATACATATACATGGTGAGAAAAACAAATCTTGCGAGTTTACCAGACGGATGGCTGAGGGAACAAAGCTGTTACAGAATCTGGTACTTCTGCTAGAAATACCTTCAAGGACAGAAGTATTTGACAATACCTCTGTCCTTGCAAAATATTCACTTGGGTTTTAGAAAAATAGTATAGCTTCTTTACATTTCAGATGTATAATAGCAAACTGCGCAGAAATAGGGCAGCTATTGTGGCAAATTGAGGTTTATGTTTTCTTTAAAACCCATTTTCTTCTATTTTAACCATCTCTTTTGTTCCTTTCAGCTACTTTTGGCCCTCATTGGCTTGGGATTTGTCACAACATATGTTTCAGAGAGTCTCATGAATGCTTACCTTACAGCAGCAGCATTACATGTGATTATATCACAGTTCTCTTTCATCTTTGGAATTGTAATTGATTTTCATTCAGGCCCATTGTCATTTTTTTATGTGAGTAAAGCCACTATTTTTAACTTTCCTGTTTCTCGACAAGAATGGGAAGAAGTAGACATCAGTATTGATATATTTCCCATGAAGAGTGAAAGATACTAATTAAAAGTTTATCAAATCCCTTCATTTGTAAAGATATAATAACAAGTGGTCACAATACACACACACAAGGAATCGTAATTCTCACCAGGGACTTAACTTCCCCGTTTTTAGGCATTATTAGTTTCTTTATGACATGCCATTGTCTTTCTTAAAACAGTGGAGACAAATCAACCCCCTTTAAACATGGTAGGACTTAACTTCTAAATAATATCAAAGAAATATAGCATAAGGGTCTTCATTACCAAGATCAGGTTATTTAGGGACCACCTCTTCCGAGTGGCATTTACTTGCCTATCAGGCTCAGCAGAAAAAACTAAGTGTGGGTTGTATGTACCCAAGGGGTAGTGTCATCTGGTAGGACACAGGATGAGGGCCTTCTCTGCTGCCCTAGGGAAAATAATTTTGAACCTTCTAGAAGGACTTGAAGACCTAGTTTTGCTGGCCCAGAGATTAAAGAGTGGTGTGGAACCCATGAAGTGGTTTTTAGTTCTTAATTGTTTTTAATACATTTGTCTTGTTTGTATTATTATTGTTGCTGTTGTTTTTGGTACTGTTTATGATTTAGTTATAAGCCTCCCAGACTCGTGTGTAAGATAGGCAGCTATATTTATTTCTGAAGCAAAAAACTATGTCATTTAAAAGATGTTGAGGCTTACCTTGATACTTTTAGCAGCAAATTAACATGCAAGAATTAGTTCTAACATTTTGTTGACATTTTCTTTCTTTCAGAATTTGGTATACTACTGCATGGGTCTCCCTAAAGCAAATTCCACCAGTATCTTGCTGTTTTTGCTTTCGTTACTATTGCTGAGGGTCAGCAAATGCATTAAAATAACTTATAAACACTATCCTGTTGAGTTTCCAATGGAGCTTGTTTTGGTAAATATTTGACATTTTTCTACAAAATTACATTTATGTTTCCAAAGTCACAGTTTTGTAAATGACTTGAAGTCATAGAGTGATCCATGAAACAGTTTCCTTCAAACATTGTGTTTCTTTAGTACAGAACTGAATGTTAATAATTTTGGTACTCTTTTATTTTGACTATATTATATTGGCCTTAAGTTCTCCACAAAAAAGAATAAGGAAACACTGCATCTGAAAGAAGCATTATCCCTTACTATAATTTATTTCAGGTCTTCTGATAAAACAGGAATTTGTTTTATTGTATACTTCAAATTCAGGGGACAGCACACCATCCCTTCTTGCCTTCACTGTATAGACAATAAGAACATTTTGTCTATGATTCTGATAAAACCCAATTTTATCTACCGTATATGCCGGCGTATAAGACGACCCGGCGTATAAGACGACCCCCCAACATTTCCACTCAAAATATAGTTTGTTATATACTCGCCCCCTCTTCCGCACGCCTTCCACTTTTGCACTTTTTTTTTTTTTTGAGGCACTTTTGTCTATCGTGGAAACGAATCCCGTGAAGCTGAAAGGAGCAGCCAGCCTTCTCCCAGCTCCCAAGGAAACGAGGCTCGCACCGCCCGAGCTCCGCTGAGGTATCCGGCTGGGGCTGTCAGGAGTTGTTAGCGCTGGCGCGGCTCCGCGCGGCTCCAGTCCCACGTTGCCTCGGGAAGGGAAAGGCAAAAAGGAAGAGCCGCGGCGGCGCTTTGCAATGGCAGCAGCGGCTCCTGGTTTTGCCTTTCCCTTCCCGAGGCAACGCGGGACTGGAGCCGCGCGGAGCCGCGCCAGCGGTAACAACTCCTGACAGCCCCAGCCGGATACCTCAGCGGAGCTCGGGCGGTGCGAGCCTCGTTTCCTTGGGAGCTGGGAGAAGGCTGGCTGCTCCTTTCAGCTTCACGGGATTTGTTTCCACGGTAGACAAAAGTGCCTCAGCCGCGGGCAGCCGCAGTGCTTCCCAATTACTATTTGCCGGCGTATAAGACGACCCGGCATATAAGACGACCCCCCCCAATTGGAGGCATCTTTTTCAGGGCAAAAAAGTCATCTTATACGCCGGCAAATACGGTAATAGTGTTATGGTCTGTTATTGTCCTTAGAAATGCATTCTTCAGAAACAGAGATCTAAACATTAAACATTCTGCCTTAAGTTTCAGTATCAGTGAAACTTGTTGTGGGGGGAAATGCTTTTCTGATCATGAAACTTCCCCCCACCCTCCTAATACTAATCTTTGCACTGATGATTGTATCCTACTGTTTGTGATAACTAATCAAAAGTCTGCCTTGTTTGGCATTATACCACTGAATATTATTAGAATCTATTTCAATGTCTGGCTAAAACAGAACCATTAGTCCATAATGCCAAGGTAGATATTGACATTGTAATTGCCATTAATCAAGGCTGAATTTGAGAGTATAGTAATACAATATTGAAATAAATTTAAATACATAATATTCATCTCAAATAATATAGAGTGCATTTTTTTACAGATTATTGTATTTACAATGCTTTCTACCCAAACTCGTCTACATGCTGAATCTAGTCAGGGAGTTTTTACAATGACTCCCCACAAGTAAGTAATCTAATCTAATATTATGTATTTTTCATGCATGTATAAATATGTACTTATCATGCTATTCCCTTTCAGGGTAACATATGGGTGGGGGGGGAGAAAAGGAAGGACAAATAAATAAAAAATGAAATAATGAAATAAGAAAAATGAAAGGAAAGTAAATAACGTTGAAATTAAAGAATTGGGTAAAGAACTTGGTAATAATACCCCAGCTTGAAATTCCTGTGAAACATTTGCCAATGCGTGAACCTGAAAGCTTATTCTCATAAATATTTCAACATTGCTAACTTTGTCATTCAAATATATGCTGCTGTTTCTATTTGTGGCCAAGTGCATACCAACAGCCAGGGATGAGATCCGACTGGTATAACTACCGGTTCTGTTGCTCTGCGTCGCATACGCATGCGCACTTTGTGAGCGTGTGAGTTGCGCGAGTTGCACGAGTGCAATTTACGACCTGCTGAGCTGCCCAGACAGCTGAGCAATGCTGCGTGCAAGTGCACAGCGGCTGGAAAAGCCCTTTTTTCCTGCTTTTTCAACCACAGCTGTGTCGCGCAAAGCAGCTGCGGTTGAAAAAGCAGGAAATAAAAGTCAGGTAAGAGCCCGGGTGGACGGGTGGGCCAAAACAGCAGCAGACATAGAACCGGTTCTATGTATTCTTTCTGTCTGCTGCTCTTCAGAACTACCGATTCTACAGAGGTGGACAGAACCGGTAGAATCCCACCCCTGCCAACAGCATTTAGTCAAGCCAACAGTGTTCAAATATTCTATATACTGTAATTTCCCTTTGAGAGGTACCTGATGGGGGCAGGTTTTAGCATTTACTGAACAGTGTAAAGATTCTTTGTTCTAGCCATCAGGATCATGTGTGGCCCATCAGTATTCATAAAGAGCTATAATTACTGCCCATTTCTTAAAATGAGCTAAAAATAATAATGTATAATTTTATTTTACTCATAAGATTTATTCGCCGTTTATATCACAGTTCAGGCAACTCTAAATTGATTCTTTAGTACTGTGCAGAATATCAAAATTCCTTTTTATCATTATTTTATTTCATATGTAAAATACAAAGAAGAGTAGAAATAAGAAATTAGGGGAAGGAATGTCAAAATTGATCTTTGAATGTTGCTTTAGAGCAGAGGTTCCCAAACTTGGCCACTTTAAGACTTGTGGACTTCAACTCCCAGAATTCTCCAGCCAGCTATGCTATGCTATGCTGGCTGGAGAATCCTGGGAGTTGAAGTCCACAAGTCTTAAAATGGCCAAGTTTGGAGACCTCTGCTTTAGAGGACGTGGGGATGTCTGTGTAACTCCTTAAAATGCCTCTCTCCTTTCCAGGATTACATGGCAGCTGTGAAGGCCAGTTGTGTGACCTCTGGAAAAGAGTCAACTGCTTTATTGAGTATAGAGTGTTGCTGTGTTCACTATCCAAAGCACACTTTGGAGATCAAATTTAAAGCGTTGCCCAAGTGTTCTGTGTTCTGCTGGGGAAAAAATGTTGTCCGTTGCTCAATTTAAACTTTTAATAAAGGTGATTTGTTTTCATTTTCAGAAAAGGTTTCTAAGATAGCTAACAATAAGTACATAAAATTCAGTGTTTGAAATCCAAACAAGCCCATATTTATTATTAGCACCACTTGCTTGGTTCACAACATTGTGGGTTGAAAGAGATGGTAGTAAATCTGTAAATAAATAGAGCTATAGGTTATACATCCTAATCAAAGTATTCAAGGGTGTTCTTTACACAGGACTGAAGCATCTCTTTTGTTTCAGGTTTTTGAATCCTACACTACCTGATTTCTCAAAACTGGACAAAATTATATTACAGGCTTCATCTCTGGCAATAGTAAGCTATTTCCTCCTCATTTTTGTGGGAAAGAAGTATGCAAGTATTCACAACTATCACATCAGACATACTCAGGTAATAGTTATATATCACAAAGCAGAAGCCTCGAGAAATTGATGGAGCTTTGGGAGAATAAATAAACTATAATTAAATATACTTTTCCATAGATTTCCGGGGTCTGTGGAAGGCATGCAACGCTGTAGTCACTATTTGTCTCCAAGAACATTAGAAATACATTGGGACATATTGAGATAAATATGAAAAACAAAGCAACTCTTCATTAATTTAACTGATCAGTCAAAAGCCTTTGCATAGCTTCCTCTGGTGCACCAATTGCACACTTTTCTGGATTAGGAGAAATTCCAGGCAATCATTCATGCCCTACTCACCTCATAACTTGTCTTATTGCAATGTGCTTTATGTGGAGTAATACTCAGAAGCTTCAATTGGTCTAAAATACAGCAGCATGGCCAGTGACTGGCCTGCACTATAGCTATGTTTCTAGTTGCAATTCAAGGTTCAGGCTTTGGCCTATAAAGCAGTATGTGGCATAGGATTTGTAATTTGAAGGACTGTCTATCATCTCCTGTGATGTCTGTCCAGCCAATACAAACTCACAGGGTTGGCACACTTTGGGACCCTTCAATTAAACAATGTCATCTTTTGGGATCCAGGAAGTATGCCTCCTGTGTTGTGAGGTCTGCCCCCAGAATGAAGCTCCCCTGATATCCAGGTGGCTCTCACGCTATTAGTTTCTCATAGCGCTTTGAAGACCTGACTCTTCCCACATCAGGGCCAGATTTTCCATCTTGTGCTTTATCTGCTTTCCTATCTATTTTTTGTTGGTTTGCTTTTGAATTGTATTGCATGTTGATCTATTTACTATATTACAAGCCACCTAGAGTTGTTTGGAGTCAGGCAGTCCTAAATTAAATAAATTAAATTAGGTCCCTGTGGGTGCTCATGATTATAAGTGTGACAGCAACAGCAATGCAATTAAACTATTCTGAAAACTTTAAGTCTATCACAAAACAAAACAAAATCATATCAAAGTTACAAGTTGAAAAAGAAACAACAAAATGTAATTGACCATTAAAACTATGGCTTTATCTATTAGAACAAAGATATTTATAGAAAACTAGTTCTTGGTCATACTGGCTGGGGGATTCTGGGAGTTGAAATCCACACATCTTAAATTTACCAAGATTGAGAATCACTGGATTGTACTGTACACATTTTGAACATGATGAGGCAGAGGTCCCTCCAGGGGCACCCACAGTGGTGTGTCAACAGCATCGCAATTGCAAACAGAACTTGGCAAGCAAAGGCCACCTCCTTCTGAACATGTACTGCATATATTACATGCATGTAAAAAGGTTGCTGAAGTCATGCCCACCATTGTGATGCTGTTGATTCTCCCTATGGTGGTATCCTCTGAGGGCTCTAGGCATATGCAAACCTAAGCATATTCAAGAAAGCAGTAGGAGCCATTAAAAAAAAGAATTGTTGATGTAAGCGATACATTAACTGTAATGACTGAATGTCTCCCTAAAACAGCAATATGTTTTTGGTTATAAATGATTAGGACATATTAATATTCTGAAGTTTGTCATCCTTATTTTTTCTAGTGGAAAATATTTGTAGTCCCTATATTTCACAGTACAGTAATCTGAATACCAGTAGGTTTATCTTTATTTATCATGTGCAGGATTTAGTAGCAATTGGGCTATGCAATGTCTTCAGTTCATTTTTTAAGAGTTTTTCTGTCAGCTGTGCAATTTCTACAACTGTTATTCAGGAGAAGACTGGTGGAAAAACACAGGTGAGTTAGTTCCAGTGCTTGTTTCAAATCTAGATTTAGGTGTATTTGTTAGAACATGGTTTTCTCTGCTGTTTGGACCATGCGAAAGGGATGCTTTACAGAGTTTGTTAGTATGAGCAAATGGTTAAATAACTACAGCATTTAAAAAAATTGTATTGTCACTTCAAAGGCTGCCCTTGGTGTATTATTATCAGTCTCAGTGGAGATTTGTCTGCATCAGAAGTCATGGGCAGAAATCTTTTTAACCCCATTCGGATATTTTGGTTACATATATATGTTTGCAAATTGACCCTCATAAATTTTGATTAGCATTATTATAAAATATAATTATATTTAAACCAGAAGAACAGGTGAACTCTCCTTCAGATCAAGCTCAGTTTGTGGTGACTTCATTGACATGAGTTTTTTTGTTTTTTGGCAACTGTCAGAAATGTTTTACAGTTGCCATCTTTCAGGATATATTTTTGACTTCTCAGTGTAGCTCGTTAGTGTTAGTCTCTCATCCAAGAAATTAACAAGTTTGGTAACATTTGTGTCCTTGAAATTAAGAAATGTTTACCAAGTACACTATTGCCATCTAGATAAATGTTAAAAATATAACAAGAATTACATGTTACAGTTTAAAAAATAAATGAATAGATTAAGAAGTAGATAGTTAGCATAGAGCAATGGTTCTCAACCTGTGGTCTGCAGACCCCTGGGGGACCATGATGTCATCACAGAAAGTCTGCAAAGGCTTGAAGAAATGTTATGATTTAAATCTTGAGTTAAGTCTTGGGTGTCTGTGGCCATGGTCATGCATTATCAAGAATTTGCTATTAAGTAGGGTAGTATGTAAGAGGCGAGGCAATCGGTCCAATATTGAACCAAGAAATACAATATCTAGGTTGTAAACTCTGGAAAATCACTAGACTGTAGTAAAAAGCTATAGAAAATACCAACCAAAGGTAACACCATCAAGCTGGCTGAACTGGTGTGGCAAGAATTGTGCACTCCAGGTTCTAGGTTCCACAATAGCATCTATTGGAAAACATGCGTTCTTTGTAGCAGCACCTGCCCTCTGAAATGATGTTCCTCTCCCCCCCCCCCCCCCATTCAAATGGCTGTTTGGTTAACCACACCAAACTTGATTGCAGGAAATACGACTTCAGCAACAGAGTGGTCAATGTCTGGAATACTCTACCTGACTCTGTAGTTTCTTCCCCAAACCCCAAAAACTTTAACCTTAGACTGTCTACCATTGACCTCACCCCTTTCCTAAGAGGTCTGTAGGGGGCGTGCATAAGCGCACCAACGTGCCTACCGTCCCTGTCCTATTGTTTCTTTTATTTTTCTTATATGTATCCATTTCATGTATTCATAACTATGTATATACTTATATCTATTATCTTGTAAGCAATTGACAAATCAAAATAAATATTCTATTCAATTGAGTGATACTGATTTTGTCAATGCCGATGGTATACAAGTGGTGCTCCAAATGTTTTGGAATTGCACTCAAGGCACCCCCATCTTTGCTTTCTTTTGCCAAATTATTCTAATGCTTTCACCAGGTCATTATTATGTTTGGTTACCCAATAACCCAGATGTTTAGACTGGATTTAACATTTTTATCCACCTGTCGAGTCCTTCCTAAAGATAATATCGTTGCCATGTTATCTGCCATCTAGTTGTCTCCTGGATTTTGAAGTCTGGATATGGTTTCCTGGTTCAATAAATTCTCAAAATTTAAGCTACCATCACTTCTACAATGGTAAATGAATTTGTGTGACACTCTTCTCCAGTGAATAAGCCTAAAAATAAACATTCCATGTATGTAATAACAATTAAATTTTGATCTAAATACAACTGCCTTGTGTAGGCTTGGGCAGTGCCTGTACAGACTAATCATGAGTACTGTGAAAACGTTTTTTGGGGAAAACAGGGAGCAAAGCTTGGAATGTGTTTTGCCTGAATATGCCTCATCAGATTTTTAAAAATCTCACCCCACCCTCACCAAACTGGTTGTAGGATATCCTACCTCCAAGTTTGAGAAACCCTGGCATAGTGAAAAAGCTTGAGTCCAAGTCAAGATAATCTAACTTCAAAACAATAAACTTTATTGAAGGCAAGTCATGAATAGATTTAGGAATCTAAGGTCAAATTAAGGAATTGGCAGGCACGTTAGCAATAGTAGACCTTTTCATCAAATCAATAGAATCTTTTTTGATGTGATGGTAATTGAAATTTCATCATATTAATTAACATGGTACACATCATTTTGTATATGTTCTGAAAATAGACTGAGTTAGGTGGAGTATTTTGATTTACAAGATATGAGAAAGAATAATTCGCATCAGGTTAAGATTCTAATGCCATTTTTTTAAAAATTAGCTTGCAGCTCTGATTGGAATTTCCTTAATGCTGGTGACAGGATTAAAATTGGGATATTACTTGCAGTCCCTTCCAAATGTAAGTTAAAGTGAAAATCTGAATAATTTAGATATATAAATTTTGTGCCGTAATGGAATATTGCTCTCTTTAAAAATCCAGGTCATCAGAATATTGATACATTATATATCCCTGGGGGATTTTTTTTAATGAGTTGCCAATTCTCAATACGTCAGATCTACCAGGTAGATCAGACCAGGAAATATCCTAACTTTTAACTTCCCTAACTCCACAGAAAAAATAAAATGACCTTTATTGAATTTAGCTATAATAACAAAATCTTGTTTGTATGGTTGTATTGTATTTCTTCCTCCTTTTCATATGCCTGACCTATTTCAAAATATATCATTGCTTTGGATTTTAAAACGATTCATCCCTTTTAAAACTATTATAACTACCAATGGGCCTTCTTGCTACTCTCCCCTTGGCAGTCTTGGAGAACAGATTTGGTAATACTCCTGTTATCTGTGGAAATTATGACTATTTGGCTCAAACCACTCTGAATCTAGGGAACTTAGTTTTCTAAGTTCTTTTGTTGTTGTGTTACAATTTTATTCCAAAGATGAGAGGAAGGTTACTTTGGCTGATGCTAAAAAATATCCATAGTCAAACAAAGACATTTTATATTAGCTACTTTACAGCAGTCTGAGATTGCAATGTTACCTACGTAGTTGCCAAATTTTGCTCCCTAAAGGCAAGGATACCCTATCAGAAAGTCACTATTATGGACAGAATAATTGTTTTGGAGATACTGATAGTTATTTGGCTGTATTCTAAGAGTGTAAATGTTTATCTATCTGAAACTTTCACTGAGTTTGGTCTATGACCTTAATAAAGTTTTATTTATTGGTGAAATGCCTACGCTTATTTACTAAATCTTAAAGTAGGATTTAATAGTTGGTTAATTACGTGGATTTATTGTGCACTTTTCTTTTTACCCAAAGAACTCCCTTTTTATTACAGAAAACGTTATTTATTTGACAAGGCATTTAGAAAACATGCATATTAGTAAAATTTCCATCTGTCAATTAAAAAAAGTCACTCTACTTGAATCTGCACATATACTCAGATCATTCTTAGAATAACAGAGTTGGAAGGGACCTTGGAGGTCTTCTAAACCAGTCCCCTGTTCAAGCAGGGGACCCTATACCATTCCAGACAAATGGTTGTTCAGTCCCTTCTTAAAAATCTCCAGTATTGAAGCACCCACAACTTCTAAAGGCAAGTTGTTCCACTGCTTGATTGCTGTTACTGTCAGGAAATTTCTCCTTAGGTTCTAGGTTGCTTCTCTCTTTGTTCAGTTTCCATCCAGATGTTTTGGAGAATAGGTTGACTCCCTCTTCCTTGGGGCAGCCCCTCAAATATTGAAACACTGCTATCATGTCACCCTAGTTCTTCTTTTTACTAGACTAGACATACCCAATTCCTGCAACTGTTCTTCATATGTTTTAGTACACCAGTACATTTTGACATTTTATTTTTTTGAGAAGAACTCAATGCCTAGGAAGGCCAACACCAGCTAAAGAACAGGCAGCTGTGATTTCACATTTTTGTGTATACAGGTGGTTCTCAACTTACGACCAGTTGCTTAACAACCATTTTAAATTATGACAGGACTGGAATGGGTGCTTTATGGTCTATCAAGCACTTCTGACAGTTGTAAAATGTTGTATCACCCAACCCACAGTTACATGACCACATTTCAGTCACTTGGTAACGGGCTTATGACCAGTCGCAGTATCCTATAGTCACGTTGCCATGATTTGCAAAGTTTTTTTTTTACTAATTCCCACCTTTTTTCACTAGTTTCTGGCAAAAATGACCCATTGAATGGGTTTGGTTTTACAACCATAACATCTGCTTAGTGACCATCACAAAAAAGGCATAAAATTGGATCCAGTCACCTGGGTTCCTCAGTTCATGATCATAATGACTTATTATTTGAAATCCAGTCCCAACTGTAGATATGTCACTTACCTATATAACAAAACGAAGAAGAAAAAAGAAAGAAAAAAAATCACAAAAAAGAAAGCTCTGAAAATACAAATAGAACATCTGTGGCGAAAGAAAGCAAATATAGTGCAATCCCAAAACATCTGAAGCACCACTTAAACACTATCAGTGTTGACAAAATCCCTATCAATCAAAAGGCAATGGAACAGCTTACATCCTACAATAACGTTAATATTATTAAACAACAGTATCTGCCTCTCCCTGCTTCTTGGGAAGGACTCAGTAAGTTGATAAAAAGATCAAATCCAGTCTGAAAATCTGGCTGACTATTCAATGCACTATAAAAATAATATATTATCATGGTTCAGTGCACACAGCCAGATGTTCAGACTGGATTTGGCATTTTTATCTACCTAGCAAGTCTTCCTAAGGATCTTGGATAGGCAGATGTTGGTGTTTGATGGTGTTATATAGGTGAAACTCGGAAAAATTAGAATATCATGCAAAAGTTCATTTATTTCAGTAATGCAACTTAAAAGGTGAGCCTAATATATGAGATGGACTCATTACATGCAAAGCAAGATAGTTCAAGCCGTGATGTGTCATAATTGAGATGATTATGGCTTACAGCTCATGAAAACCCCAAATCCATAATTTCAGAAGGTTAGAATATTGTGAAAAGGTTCGATATTCTAGGCTCAAAGTGTCCCACTCTAATCAGCTAATTAAGCCATAACACCTGCAAAGGGTTCCTGGGCCTTTAAATGGTCTCTCAATCTGGTTCAGTAGGAATCACAATCATGGGAAAGACTGCTGACCTGACAGTTGAGCAGAAAACCATCATTGATACCCTCCATAAGCCTCAAAAGATAATTGCAAAAGAAGTTGGATGTTCCCAAAGTGCTGTATCAAAGCACATTAATAGAAAGCTATGTGGAAGGGGAGAGTGTGGAAGAAAAAGGTGCACAAGCAGCAGGGATGACCGCAGCCTGGAGAGGATTATCAGGAAAAGGTCATTCAAAAGTGTTGGGGACTTTCACAAGGAGTGGACTGAGGCTGGAGTCAGTGCATCAAGAGCCACCACACACAGACAGATCCTGGACATGGGCTTCAAATGTCATATTCCTCTTGTCAAGCTGCTCCTGAACAACAAACAACATCAGAAGCGTCTTACCTGGGCTAAAGAAAAACAGAACTGGTCTGTTGCTCAGTGGTCCAAAGTCCTCTTCTCTGATGAGAGCAACGTTTGCATCTCATTTGTAAACCAAGGACCCAGAGTCTGGAGGAAGAATGGAGAAGCACACACTGCAAGATGCTTGAAGTCCAGTGTGAAGTTTCCACAGTCTGTGTTGATTTGGGGAGCCATGTCATCTGTTGCTGTTGGTCCACTGTACTTCATTAAGTCCAGGGTCAACGCAGCCATCTACCAGGAGATTTTGGAGCATTTCATGCTTCCTTCCACAGACAAGCTTTATGAGGATGCTGACTTCATTTTCCAGCAGGACTTGCCACCTGCCCACACTGCCAAAAGCACCAAAAGCTGGTTCAATGACCGTGGGATTACTGTGCTTGATTGGCCAGCACACTTGCCTGACCTGAACCCCAAAGAGAATCTATGGGGCATTGCCAAGCGAAAGATGAGAGACATGAGACCAAACAATGCAGAAGAGTTGAAGGCTGCTATTGAAGCATCCTGGTCTTCCATAACACCTCAGCAGTGCCACAGGCTGATAGCTTCCATTCCACGCCGCATTGAGGCAGTAATTGTTGCAAAAGGGGCCCAAACCAAGTACTGAGTACATATGCATGCTTATACTTTTCAGAGGTCCGATGTTGTTCTATGTACAATCCTTGTTTTACTGAGTTTCACCTGTAGGTATCATCGCAGGATGTAAGCCGTTACAAGTAAAACTGCCTTTTGCAATTATTACCAATGATGACTGGCATCCTTGAAATGATACCTAAAGGACTTCCTCAATATCTGAAAATATTGAATGTATCAAACCTATACACCCTAATTTTACAAAAAATAATCTGGTTTGGAATGGCTTATATTCTTAGATGCTACGTGAATAAATCTTAGGTTTTTGCTTAAGGCTTGAATTATTAAGTTTCCACAAGTCTTAGACTGTGAATTGTAAATTACTGAATAATAATAATAATAATAATAATAATAATAATAATAATAATAATAATAA